TGTGTTAATAATGATATAACATTAAATATGAAAAAGTCGGTCAACGAATTAATGATAGAATTAACTGACTAGCTATAGGTGATCGTATCGACCAATGAACTTTGAAAATGAATTTTAACGAGACCGTTGATATTCTTGTTTCATCAAAAAGTTTGACTATAGTTTGAATTTTTTCAGACATTGTTCGTAAAGCATTTGCTGCCGTATCGAATCAACTGGAAGATATAAACCATATATGCATGTAATACAGGTGTATTACTATAAAAGCAAGGGAAGTTAACGATAGAAATGTTGGAAATATTAACGTCTTTTTCTATGAAAATATCTAAATATGAAGACGATTTGTCAGAATTTGTGGTATTTTTTATTTCCAAGTCCGAAGGGATTTATCGAGTCATCGTAGAGAAGAAAATAAATATTATAAATTGAAAACAAAACTTGTCGATTTATCTAAACTTTGAATTAAAGGTCACAGCATTATCTATTAAATGATTCAAAATTCAAAATTTATGGTGCAAAATAAGTAAATTATGTTTTTAATTTTCAAAAGTATATGCAAATGTTTCCTTTTTGTTCATGTTGTTTTGCGTAATTAATTATAACAAAGTGTTATGACAAATTTTGAATCAGTTTTATTAAATATCTATATAAATAAAACATATTTTTGTGACAAAAAATATACATGAACATGTATGTATGAAAACATACCGTCAGAATGCAACCTGGCATATCAGCAATACAAAATTCTGTTAAAACTACAAAGTTGATATAAAAATCTAGTTTTACTCAAGGAGCTCTTTATAAAATCAATATTTGGGAATTCTGTGGGCACTAGAATTAGGGAAAAAAGTTCACAAACTTATGTTTAATGCTGTATTTTGCGCTAAGATATATCACTTTTATATACGCCTTTTCTTCAAGAAGTTCTTAAATTTCAATTTACCTTCGCCTCCTAAGATGCAAAGGCGGAATTACTTCCTGTATTACGTACTTGCTAAAATATATTTGGATAATGGGAGATAATAGTATGACACAATACTAGGAATTATGTACTTGTCTAAATAAATTTTAATCATGGCGCTTTACAAAGAGTGTAAAGAACTAATCACCTTATTATTCTAAGCCAGTTGGACACCTTTCTCTGCAAGAAGTTCTAAAATTCCAACATTTCCTCCTTGTGCTGCACATAATGCGGCATTCCATCCATCATTATTGACCTGATTAAGCATGTCTGGATAATGCTGGATGATATATTGGCACATTTCTGATTTAGAATTAATACAAGCAATGTGAAGAATATTACTGCCTTTCTTAGTTTTAAATGTCATATCGACGCCTTTTTGTGCCAGAAGTTCTAAAATTTCAGCATTTCCTCCTTGTGCTGCATGTAATGCGGCATTCCATCCAATATTATCTACTTGATTAAGCATGTCTGGATAATGTTGGATGATATATTGGCACATTTCTAATCGGCAAGTAGCACAAGCAATGTGAAGAATATTACCGCCTACATTAGTTTTTAATGTTATATCGACGCCTTTTTGTGCCAGAAGTTCTAAAATTTCAACATTTCCTCCTTGTGCTGCATATAATGCGACATTCCATCCATTATTATCTACTTGATTAAGCATGTCTGGATAATGTTGGATGATATATTGGCACATTTCTAATCGGCAATTAACACAAGCAATATGAAGAATATTTTGGCCAGCCTTATTTTTTAATGTTATATCGACGCCTTTTTGTGCCAGAAGTTCTAAAATTTCAACATTTCCTCCTTGTACTGCACATAATGCGACATTCGATCCATTATTATTTACTTGATTTAGCATGTCTGGATAATGTTGGATGATATATTGGCACATTTCTAATCGGGAATTAACACAAGCAATGTGAAGAATATTACCGCCTACATTATTTTTTAATGTTATATCGACGCCTTTTTGTGCCAGAAGTTCTAAAATTTCAACATTTCCTCCTTGTGCTACATATAATGCGACATACCATCCATCATTATTCACTTGATTAAGCATGTCTGGATAATGTTGGATGATATATTGGCACATTTCTGATTTAGAATTAATGCAAGCAATGTGAAGAATATTACTGCCTTTCTTAGTTTTAAATGTCATATCGACGCCTTTTTGTGCCAGAAGTTCTAAAATTTCAGCATTTCCTCCTTGTACTGCACATAATGCGGCATTCCATCCATTATTATCTACTTGATTAAGCATGTCTGGATAATGTTGGATGATATATTGGCACATTTCTAATCGGGAATTAATACAAGCAATCTGAAGAATATTACCGCCTACATTAATTTTTAATGTTATATCGACGCCTTTTTGTGCCAGAAGTTCTAAAATTTCAACATTTCCTCCTTGTGCTGCACATGATGCGGCATTACATCCATCATTATCTACTTGATTAAGCATGTCTGGATAATGTTGGATGATATATTGGCACATTTCTAATCGGGAATTAATACAAGCAATGTGAAGAATATTACCGCCTGCATTAGTTTTTAATGTTATATCGACGCCTTTTTGTGCCAGAAGTTCTAAAATTTCAGCATTTCCTCCTTGTACTGCACATAATGCGGCATTCCATCCATTATTATCTACTTGATTTAGCATGTCTGGATAATGTTGGATGATATATTGGCACATTTCTAATCGGGAATTAATACAAGCAATGTGAAGAATATTACCGCCTACATTAGTTTTTAATGTTATATCGACGCCTTTTTGTGCCAGAAGTTCTAAAATTTCAACATTTCCTCCTTGTACTGCACATAATGCGGCATTACATCCATTATTATCTACTTGATTTAGCATGTCTGGATAATGTTGGATGATATATTGGCACATTTCTAATCGGCAATTAACACAAGCAATGTGAAGAATATTACCGCCTGCATTAGTTTTTAATGTTATATCGACGCCTTTTTGTGCCAGAAGTTCTAAAATTTCAGCATTTCCTCCTTGTACTGCACATAATGCGGCATTCCATCCATTATTATCTACTTGATTTAGCATGTCTGGATAATGTTGGATGATATATTGGCACATTTCTAATCGGCAATTAACACAAGCAATGTGAAGAATATTACCGCCTGCATTAGTTTTTAATGTTATATCGACGCCTTTTTGTGCCAGAAGTTCTAAAATTTCAACATTTCCTCCTTGTGCTGCACATGATGCGGCATTACATCCATTATAACCTACTTGATTTAGCATGTCTGGATAATGTTGGATGATATATTGGCACATTTCTAATCGGCAATTAACACAAGCAATGTGAAGAATATTACCGCCTGCATTAGTTTTTAATGTTATATCGACGCCTTTTTGTGCCAGAAGTTCTAAAATTTCAGCATTTCCTCCTTGTACTGCACATAATGCGGCATTCCATCCATTATTATCTACTTGATTTAGCATGTCTGGATAATGTTGGATGATATATTGGCACATTTCTAATCGGGAATTAATACAAGCAATGTGAAGAATATTACCGCCTACATTAGTTTTTAATGCTATATCGACGCCTTTTTGTGCCAGAAGTTCTAAAATTTCAACATTTCCTCCTTGTACTGCACATAATGCGGCATTACATCCATTATTATCTACTTGATTTAGCATGTCTGGATAATGTTGGATGATATATTGGCACATTTCTAATCGGGAATTAATACAAGCAATGTGAAGAATATTACCGCCTACATTAGTTTTTAATGTTATATCGACGCCTTTTTGTGCCAGAAGTTCTAAAATTTCAACATTTCCTCCTTGTGCTGCACATGATGCGGCATTCCATCCATTATTATCTACTTGATTTAGCATGTCTGGATAATGTTGGATGATATATTGGCACATTTCTAATCGGGAATTAATACAAGCAATGTGAAGAATATTACCGCCTACATTAGTTTTTAATGTTATATCGACGCCTTTTTGTGCCAGAAGTTCTAAAATTTCAACATTTCCTCCTTGTGCTGCACATGATGCGGCATTCCATCCATCATCATCTACTTGATTAAGAATGTGTGGATCGCGATCGAGGAGATATCGGCACAAATCTGTATTTCCATTCTTACAGGCAGAATAAAAAGCACGTGTTTTTGTATTTATCTCATCTTTGAAATGCATCATTTTGGCGCTTGTTTTTTCTGAAATGTAACCTCCTTCATGTAACGACATATTTGGTTCGTTATTCGTTTCTCTTTCATTTTCTGCTGAATTTCCTAGGAGTTTTACATTTTCGTTTTCCGTTCTTTTATATTTTTTGGCTGGAGGACAGTTTATGTCTTTGTGTTTTTTCTTCCTGTATTCTAAAACAAAGATTTAATTAAAACATGCGAACCGTATGAGGAAAATATTCAACAAGTCACAATTCGGTGATTTATCCCAAAAATGGGTATATATATTTCCTATAAACTAAATAAAGGTTTTATAATATGTACAGAAAAATATGTATAACAACCAATATGGTTTAATATTTTAAGTTATTGAATTTCAGCACTTTCCAAACCTTCGCCATATACCACAATTTATTCCTCACTAAACATTCTGCTTTTTTGTAAATATGTGTTTTAGCTCACCTGAGCCAAAAGCTCAAGTGTGCTTTTCTGATCGAAATTAGTCCGTTGTCTGTCGTCGTCGTTAGTGTTGTCGTTGTGCTTAACTTTACACAATTTTATCTTTTTCTCCAGAATTACCGGGCCAATTTCAAATAAACTAGACACAGAGCATTCTTGGCTTACGTAGATTCAGATTTGTTCAAATGAACGGTCACGCTCTCCTCCAAAGGGAGAAAATTATGAAAAATTAATGGCATCATTGAAAATTCTTCTCAAGAACCAGTGGGCCAGAAAAGATGAAACTCATGTGGTCGAATCATTGTCAGATTTGTTCAAATCCTGACCCCCAAAGCTAAAGTGGAACCACAATGGATTATTAAACTTTTACATAGGAAGATACAGGAAAATTATTTTTCTCAAGAACAACAGAGCCAAGGTTGGTCATATTCATATGAAATTTTCCTCAGATGATGTAGATTCGAGTTTGTTTAAATCATGCCCCCACCCCACCCCCCTAAAGTCTCTTTTAAATTATTTATTTAAATAAGCGGTATATGTATACCGTATACATGTAACACTACTTATCTCCATTTGAATAAAAAGGAAATAATACAGATTCCTTTTGTTCAATGTCATTTGTTGAACTTCCGGATGTATTTCATAACAGATTGTAAAGCATCCATGCACGTTCGTAAGTCAAACATCTTCATTCAATTTGGTAAAGATGAAACATCTGTGAAATTTGTGCATTAAAAAGAGGATGAATAAAACTAGGAACACGTAAAATAGAATTGCGAGAGAGCAGACGTAACACAAGAAGGTTGTCTGTTCTTGTTCACTGATGTGTGGAGTACAAATATATATCTGCTAAAATATAATGCTTTATAACAGAAGTCGAGCTTAGATAAACATATGTACCCTTAAAAATAACATTAACAAAAATTAACAAAAAACAACGACAGGTCCCCCTTTTTAGAACATCGGAATTTACTTATCGCATAAAGACGTACTCTAAACAGTTCGTGTTATATATTCTTAATATCAATTCTTTATAAAAATCAAAATTTTAAATAGGGTCGTGGACATGACATGTCTCTGATTTAGCTAAATTTCACACCATTTACTACAATTGGCATAGCTTTAATAAATATGATGTCAAAGTCTAACTTTTCAATTTGGTTGCCATGGTAACAAGGATTCTATATTGAGAACCCTCAGATTAAGTAAATTTTGCTCTGTCTTAAATGATATTAGTGCACATTCAATAAATTAGTGTAAATTCACACGATAATTACATCTTTGGGCTCATATTACTTAAATCTGAGAAATAAATTTTATTCAAGATATTTGGATGGAAGTTTAGCGAATTTTCATCAGCAGCATTAAGGCTGTTAGCAAATTGGCAATTTCCCAAAATTGACAATTTTAGTCATATTAAATGAAATTTTCACCATTTTGACAACAGATATATTTGTAACCATGTACCATTAATTAAACTATATATTCTTATGTTTTATGAAAATAAAAAATATTAATGGGTTAACCAAAAACTTTCTAGAAATTATTCCATGAAAATTGGCAATTTGCCAAAATTGACATTTTTAGTCATATTCAATGAAATTTTTCACCATTTTGACAACAGATATCTTTGTAACTATGTATCATTATATAAATATATATCCTAAGATTTTATGAGAATAAAAAAAATTAATTTGTAAATGTACAGCTTTCTAGAAATTATTGCATTACACCCCCTCCCCCACCCATTAATCACAAATAACAGAGAAGATCATCTAAGAACACATTTTACCAAATTGAACAAATTGTTAGGTAATATGAATATATGTCAAGTTTTTAAAATTTCTTTTTAATAATTAAACAGAACTTCTGCAATTAACTCAGTGACAGGTAAATTGATATGTTGCCATGGAAACAAATCAGGCTTCCAGTTACTTTATTCTAAATATGAAATAAAACTAGAGCCGAGCTCGTTGCAAAGCAACGAGTAGTCTTCCGTTGGAGCTTTGGACAGGAAGTGCCGACCTTTGGTCAAGGTCACTTTACTTTCTATAAGAGCATCTTCTATTCTCAGGATGAGCCTCTTGTGAATCTTAATAACAAAGTTATGCTTGAACATTTTTTCTCTCTGTCAGTGACCTTGATTTGCTTTCATCACGGTCATGACACTTCTATTTATAAATAATTTATATTTCAAGTACGGCCTCCAATGATTTTTATCTATTAATTCGTAGCGTGGAAAAGAAAATATTTTTTCTGTCAGTAACCCTGATCTCTATGGAATAACCTTGAATCTGTGTCAAGACAAACCCTCAATCTCAAACAACTTTAATTTAGTGATTACAAATTCAAAAGCCTGACAGGAATTTTACAACTTTTTCTGTCTGTGACCCTGAATTTGATAAAATGGCATTATTTTTAGTCATCTGAAACCGGAGGACCATAAGCTATCTGTATCAAGTCTGAACTTGAAAAAGAATAGGCTAGATTAAATTTATACTATTTTCTGAGTCAAAATGATACAAAACCTTTTTGTCACAAAAAATCTCTTTATCAAGTATGAGCTTCCAGATATTCTCGATTACATATATAAATGGCTCATACAAAACATTAACTCTTTCTATAGTGACCTTGAATTTGCCATAATATTCCCTTGAACCAAAGTCATGACACACCTTATGATCATTGGAAATCTTTGTATCGAGTACATGTAGTATGGGCTCCAAGATTCTCCATAAATTTAAAGCCTGGGCTTCAGGGAAAACCTTGAGAGGCAGAAGGACAGCTGGACAGTGAAACAGAAAATGTTATTCCTAACCCATCCAACCCCACCCCACCCCCAAAATACACAATCACTTTGTTTGCGGGTGTATAACTTCCTATGTTTAATTTTGAATGCCTATTCCAGTCATGATTTGAAAAACAGTTATCTTTATTATATGTATTTCAGGAAGCTTTGATAAGTATGGTTTCCCATTCTTGCCCAGAAGTTCGAGAAAATAATATTTAAAAAAAAAACCTCCTATTTTTGCTAATCGTTTTTCTGCATTATCTTCTTTTTATACCCCCCCCCCTAAAGGTCGCTGATCATGTTCAAAAACACGTTGCCTAGCCGAAACCACATCGGTTTATACACGCCGTTCATTTTACATGTATTTACATTTTTTTCCGTGAAGGAGGAAGCGCAGGTATAGAAGATTAAAGAAAAATTCCGGATATTCAACAGCACCATGCATGGACTTCATTTTAGTACCACATATTGTACTTGAAGTTGAATAAAATCTATAAATAAATTTAATTAAAATAGGAAACGGAAATACATTTAATAGAATGAAGTCAACAATACCGGTATATTTGATAAAGAACTATTTGATAAATATATGTATGTATATGAGCAAGGCGAGTCTTTCTTTCTCTCTCTCATTCATGTTTTTTTTTAACCAAGAAAAATTAATGTGCGTAAGATACAAGTTCATTATTTTAAAGAAAATACTCAATATTACATGTACATGATGTTTTTACGGTAAACGATACAAATGGTTTGACTATGCTGCCGGTTATGATTTTAAAGTCATATACTCTATATGAACGCCGAATTTTGTGTGAAACAAAATGATTAATGATTTAAAACACATAAAGTGTAATGAAAAATAATACTTTCCACAAAATTGTACTATAGATGTCGTTGTTATAACAAAACAATTAAACATATTTAGGAATTAAAATTCAGTCTTTTCATGAATATTGATGAAGGAAGTGCGTAAACAGTAGGCCTATATATAGAAACACATGTCCACGGGAAATCACAGACAACGAGGTCTGTTGCATTTTGACAACAATTATTAATATAAGGTCAATATGAGTCATAACAGAGAAGATGGTTGATACAGAATACATTAAAAGATAAGTACCATTAAGAGTTAGACGCTTGCCATGTAGCAACCTCTAATGATAAAATGCCGCTTAATGATAGAAATAGCATTAAGCGTTGCAATTGCAACGCTTAATGCCATAAATTATTGCATTAATAGCTGACATCATCAACCGCTAATGCTAAATCGCCGCTTAATGATAGAATTATATCATTAAGCGTCACAAATGCAGTGCAACATCGACGCTTAATGAAACAAGCAAATATCGACATATTCGACGCTTAATGATACACACTGGTGTATCATTAAGCGTTGCAGTTGCTACCCTTAATGATATAAAATTTAGAAATGGCTTGTAATATCTAAGAGAAACACACATCCACCTTTCCTGAACAATGAGATATCACTTGTCAAAATATTTATATACGCCCTTGTGCTATAAAAATAGTAATTATTGAAGTTTTACTGTGTTTTTCTATTTAGTCAAGGGAACGTCTTTAAGCCACGGATGTTTAAGAGATAGCTGGAAGAAAGAGATACAAACGAGATAAATAAAATGATATTCAAATCCTTTAAAAAAACATTTTTAAACTGAAAATACAGAGGGAAGCAAGCAATTAAGTTCCTTTTAAATTTATACAATGATTTGAATAGTCAACCTGAAATATATATTGTCTTCGATTTGATACAACTTAACACATATCACTGTTAACGTTTCAGATATACGTAT